GCCTCCGTGCGGCTGCCGCGGCCTCGCCTGCCTTCCCCCGCCGCCGCTCGCCAGGTCGCAGGTTTGCAGCGGCGGCGCTCCGGCGGAACAGGCAGAAAAACCGCTGGAAGTGGCCGTTTCCTGATGCCCCCGTGTCTGGGCAGTGCCAGCGAGGGCGCAGGCAGCCCACGCAGTGTGCCCGCTGGAAGGGAGGTTGTCCCCCCACCCCGCTCCACTCCCTCGGACTTAATCTGCTCGAGAAGAAGCAGGTTTTGTGTAGGTGAAGCTGTTTCTTGTTTGAAACATAAAACCACAGCACATGCCCGCTGCAGTTGCTCGGCTGGTGAGTTGGAGTCTCATAAAACACTGGGAGCAGCAGCACTTTCTCTGAAGGGTGTGAAGAACCTAAAGGAGAGAAAAAAATCCTTTCTTCTGGAGGGATCTGCTGTGCTTGGGCCTCCCTTCACCATCCAGAAATGGATCTGGCTTTGGTTGTGAAGTTGTACCGGAGCATCTCTCGAGCGCTGCAGACAGGCCGGTGCGAGAGGCTGCCGGTGACCCGCGGAAGGAAGGCAGCCCTCTCCTCGGGCAGCCCTCTCTGCTCTTCCCAGCTCTTTCTCTTCCCACCAGAAGGATTTGCCTGGGGGAGGCAAGTGTCCAGCTGGTGGATGCCCTTGTGTTGCTTCTCTGGAACGTGAGCTGGGAAGGGCACGGGCTCCCAGGTTGCCGCTGTGCCAGCCGGCGCGGCCCGGCTCCAGCCGCCCCTCAGGGTCCCGGTGGTGGTGGCCGAGAAGGCAGCCTGGCCGGGATGGGGCCCTGCAGGAAGCAGCTGCTCTGTGGCCATCAACTCTCTCACCTCCTGTTTGTGGTTTTCTTACTGTTTTCTGGCTTTTCAGCTTGAAGTTGGAATGTGACAAACTAGCCAGTGAGAAATCGGAGATGCAGCGTCACTACGTCATGGTAAGGACAGGCCTGGCAGCCGACGGTGCATGAGCAGCGCGGGTGGGGGCTCTGGCGCCGAGCAGGTGCCTGCGCTGGGGTTTGGCCTGGAGGGAGCCTGAGCGCGGGTCTCTGGGCAAGGCTGGCACTGGCTCTTCTGAAAACGGGGCTTTCCTCATGTTTTGTGTTGCCTACACGCAGTGGATGGTTGAAATGAGGGGAAGTAGCAGGGGACTGTTGGACACAGGAAAGGCCCAGGGGCTGAGTGCTTGCTGGCTGGCGATGGGCGCGTGGCCTTGCTGCTGCCTCACTGCTTGACCCCTGGGCCCTGGGGGAGGCGAGAGCTCTCGGGCACCCGAGGAGGACCTGCAAGGTGCTGGGGACCCCAGGAGAGTCGTGGCCCACGAAAGACAAAACGGTGCCCTGGGAAGGCATGAAGCTGGGAAACCCCACGAGCCCGGTGGGAGTCGGAAGGAAAAATCAGCTGCTGTGCGAGTGCTAAACCCTGTGCACCTTGCTGTGGCCTGGCAGCCTCGCGGAGCTGCGGTGCCAAGTGCTGGCATGTCTCACTGGTGCGTGTGTCCTGGCACAAAGCGTGCATGTCCCCACACGGTGCCTGCTCACGGCACGAGACATGGTGCCACGCGTGGGCAAACGGGCTCAGCCTCAACTCTAAGGAGAAATCTGCCAGCAAACAGCCATGTTCTTGCAGGCGGGGTGACAGTTTACCTGCCAGGTAATGCCTCGGTCTTCCCGCACGGGGAAGGGCCCTGCAGTAGCGGGAGGGATGTGGGCAAGGCTGTGCCTCCCCTCCTGTCAGGGAGTTAACAGGAGGTTGTGATACTGTCCATAAAGATGAGCTGGTGCCTGCTTGCCAGCTGCTGCACCTGCCCTGGAAGGAAGAGATAAGATGTAGAAATTAATACAGCAGCTCTTCAGAGCCAAGTTAGGACTTTAGCACCAGAAATAAGGGAGCTGGCCCGTCCGGCCCTCTGTACTGCTGGTGTGTCCTGACTCCGAGGCTGTGGGAGCCGGGTGTGCTGGGGCCGGGGCTGAGAAGAGGTTATGTTATGGCTTTCCCTGTCTGCTGGTGGGGAAGCCTGCCCCATCCTCACTGGTCGGTGATTGCTTCCTGGGCCTTGCAGCCTGAGTGGAGATGCTCATCTCCAGGTGTGGCTGAGATTTATTTTTTTTCCCCTTAGCGCTGACGGTCACTGTAACTGATTCATGTTGCCATGAGCAGGTTGGTGGCAGAGGGGAAGGGCTGTTGCTCTTGTGCCACGCTGGAGGCTCTGCAGGCACGGCAGCTCCTGCCTTCTCCATGTGCTGAGCCGGAGTCACACAGAGCTGCTGTCGCTCCCCGCCACAGCGAGTCACGGGGAGCGAAGAGGAGGGTTTCTGTGAATGTGCAAAGCTGCTACAGCTGCTCTGATTTTTGAATAAGTCACAATTAGCAGCTTGGGGGTCGGACTCCTGCTTCCTGCTCAGTCTTTAGAATGCAAAGAAGCCTTGAGAGCCAGCCGCAGTGTTAGAGCAGGCTGAGATCATGGCGATAGCAGGCTGGATGCTTCTCAGACTTGTGGCGTCGGTACCAAAACGCCAGTGATCTTCTCCTTGAATTAAATGAGTGCAGATGTGGATTTTTCCTTCCCTTCAGAGGAATCAGGATTGCAGCCTGCAAGCTGAGGGAGGAGATTTCTAAACTCAAACATCAGCTTCTTCCAGGGGTCAGGAATTAGTTTCTCCTGCCAATAGATTGCTCTATAGCTGCCTGTTGCTTGCTGCACGGGGGTTTTCTGGGTGGCTTTTTTGGTGGTTGGTTTTTGGGTGGGTTTTTTTTTTTCCATGCAGCTTCTTCCCAAACAGCTGGAGCTGTGTGCAGCTGGATGTGTTACTTGCTAGATGAAGCCCAGTTGTGATCTCTTCCATTCGCTGCTGAAGCAGCCATGTGGGCTTTAGGATATTGGCCAGGCAAAGCTTGTAGAGTCACGCTGCCTCTCTTTTGGCTGTGGATGTGTAAGTTTGTGGAGCCCTGAGCCTTTTTCCAGCTTTGAAGCAGCATCACTCGCTCTCACCTTGATGCAGACTGCAGAGAGGTGTCCGTGAGGAGTCTGGCATGGGGCCCAGTCGGCAAGTTCCCAGGTCTCTGTCTGCAGCAGCGTGAGGCTGGAGCAGGGTGGGCAGGGAGCGCCTGGGCTCTCGGTGCTTCTGCCTTAGGCCTGGAGAAGGTCCCTGTCTGGGCTTTTCTCCTGCTTCTTTTGTTTCCTAGGGCTGGCCTCTTCCTCCTTCCATCCTTGCCCAGCCTTTCCTAGGAAAGCAGCAGTAGTTCCCAGCGCTGCTGCATGGAGCCACTTTACCTGATGGAGACTTACCATTTCTTTTGTTCCCTTCTCTCCCGCTCTACAGTATTATGAGATGTCCTACGGGCTGAATATTGAAATGCACAAACAGGTAGGGGAAGGCATTTCCAAGTGCTGTAATTCCTGGGGAGGGTGGGCTGTCTGTTGTGCTTTGCCCTCGTCACTTTAGTGGTATTTCAGGAACTAGAAATGCCATGAATCTGTAAATGTCAGAGCTGCCTCCGAAATGCTGGGACCCCCCCAGCTCCTGGGAGTGCAGTGCCTGGACTGAGGGCTCCCACCCTGGGCTGCAGACGTGCTCTGGTTCTCCCCAGGGCCTGAACAGGTATTTGAGCACCAGACAAGGCAGGGTCTGGAGCAGCAGCTCAGAGCCGGTCAGCAGACACAAACCTGAGGTGGAGGGTGGGAGATGACCCTGGTTCCCCCCGGATGGGTTTCTGGCCTTGCCACCTTCCCTGATGCCCAGGAAGGCTTGTGGGGATCACCCCAATGTGAAAAACACCTTTGGCTCCCCCTAAACTCTTGCTGCAGCCAGGCCAGAGAGCGCTTCTCTCGGGCTGTGGTTAGGGATGGCAGACCTCCTTGTGATGGAGACTCTGCTGCAGCCTGGGTAAGTTTGTTCATTACCCTCGCTGGTGGTTAAGTTGTTAATTATCCCCGGTGGCTAATTACCTGTGCTGTTAACAATGTGAGCCTCCTCTGAGCCTGACTCTGTCTGGCTTCAGCTTCCTGTCACAAAGTCGTCTGTGTTGTGGCTCAGTTATAAGCCTCTTAGCACAATGCTGCTCCCCACAAAGGCACTTGGTGCCTCTGATCCCATCGCCCTCACTGGTAAACCCCTGAGACTGGCTTCTGTGGGGAAACCTGCATCTTGATAAAGGATCTGAGCCATGAATTCTTGCTGCTGTCCCATGAATTGTCTCCCAGCCCAGTCCGCTCCCCTGTGATGCTGGTTTCGGTGTGTGCCTAAACCCTTTGGCTCTGGATTTCTGACTCCGTTGGAAAGTGGCTTGCAGAGGGCTCATAGCTTTACTCTTTCCCAGCATTCAACACCCCAAAATTTGCACCTGCCTGTATGAGGCTGTTGAAGAAGCTGTCCAGTCCCTCTGGTCTCCCTGGGTCGCCCCAGGTCTGTGGGGAGGCTGCTGTGGGCAAGTGCTGCTCGGGGGCAGGGGGTCCGAGGAGGCCGAGTGGGGGTCCCGGCACAGGCAGCGCCTGTGCCTGCTTGTGTCAGTGTGGCAAATGTAATTCAGCACATCCCCACCTGGGTCTGTAATGTTTCCTCTCTGGTTTCTCCCAGTTCATTAAACGAACACTGGAGACCGGGGGAGGGAAGAGAATGTTGAAAACCAGCTCTTTGCTGTCAGCAGCGTTGAATCATTTAGCTCTGTGGGGAGGGGCCTTGGGGGGTGAGGTGACCCCCCCATGGCACCAGGATGTTGCCAACATCTTTCTGGGGAAAGTGGGGTTTCTTAGGGCTCTGTGGGGACTCGGGCCCTGCCTGGGGCAGGGGGGCAGCCCCAAGCTGTCTGATGCCTTTCCTTTCTGTTCTTCCCACCTTCTAGGCTGAAATCGTCAAGAGGCTAAACGGGATTTGTGCACAGGTTCTGCCCTACCTTTCGCAAGAGGTGAGCCCCCCGGCTTGGCCTCGTCTCTGGCTGGGGGGAGCAGAGGCCTTGGTCCCACCATGGCCCTCGGGCACCGGCAGCTCCTTGCCCCTGGTCCTGGAAACCTGTCACTTGCTCCCAGGTCCTGCACAGGGATGAGCCCTTCAGGACAGGTTTGGCCGGGGGCAGCCCCCCAGGCACCGCATGCTGGCCCGGTGCCCATCCATCCCCTCTGTTGGCTTGGGACAAAGATGGGCTTGGTTCTCTCCTGCCTGAAATCCCAGAGTCGTTTGCCACTTCTGCAGGGGTGGTGGGAGCTTTGGGTGGCTAAGTGGAGGAGGAGGGCATTTCAAAAAACACCTCCATATGGCTCCTCCTTGAGATCTGGTTCCTCTGCCTCATTAATTAACGTGGCTGATGGGCTCCTCCCACTCCCCTGAGAAATTAATTGGGAGGGCTTGGGAGTTGCTGCTTGAGGCAGGAGGAAGATGAAGCACTTCTGGTGCTGTGTGTGTCCAGCCCCCAACACAGCCCCACAGAGGCTGAGCTCACGGCTGGTTTCTTGGTCAGGACCAGCTGTGGGATGGCAGCAGTTTCTTGCTCTGGGTTAGTTGTGGGGTTGTGGGGACAGGCTGTTTTCCCTCCCCACCTGTTTTCAAGGAGGATGAAGTGCCTTGCTGATCAGAGCTGCCTAATAACTAAGCCACAACTAAAGCTTTGGCATCTTAATGCAGCCTCCTCCCCAGCCCTGTCCTGCTGCCAAGATGGAAAGAAAAATCCACTTGCTGGAGTGCAGTGGGCAGGCCTGGGGTTCAGAGACCTTGTGCTCTTAGAGGAGCAAGTACAGTTTTCCTTTTTTTAAAGCACATGGCACAGCTGTTTTTCCCTGCCTGTGTTTGGAGCAGCCGTGCTAGGCTCTTCCATGGCAGCATCTTCCAGCTGCTGCAGTTGGGACCTGGGATGTGTCCTGAGGAGTGGGAAGCTCCCCAGGAGCTGCTGATTTTAGGGCTTCCTTTGTTTATTAGGGGGTCCTGTGTTGTGTTGGGTCTGGGTAGGAGGGAGGAGGCAGGGTAAGAGCCATGGCCCCCCTTGGAGCTCTTCTGGCCAAGGATCCCTGGGCCTGAGCAGGGATGGACAAGTGTGGGAGTAAGAGGAGACCTGCTTAACCCCGTGGTGAGGAACCAGCATGAGACAAGCGTGTCTCCTTCCCTGCTTTTCACCAGCCTGGGCCTCAGTGGTGTCAGGTCCTTGTCACAGACGAGGTGTGTGCAGGGTCCCCAGCTGCGGGTGAACTGGCTGGCACAGTGCCCTGCCAGCGCTGGCATCTGAGGTCACGTGTGTGTTGGACCTGGTGGGGCTGCGTTCTTCTTCCCTTCCCCGTGATCCTAGAAATGACCCTGAATCCCTCTGTTCTCTCCACACCAGCATCAGCAGCAAGTCCTGGGAGCCATTGAACGGGCCAAGCAGGTTACGGCACCAGAACTGAACTCCATCATCCGTGTACGTGATGCACGTTTAGTTTGGGTTGGGAGGGACGGGACTTTGTGCCTTTGGCCTTTTGGACAGAGCTGGGCAGGGGCATTGTGACCTGGGGACGTGGCCCGTGTGCTGGGAGCAGGCTGCAGCCCTGCTGGGATGAGGCTGAGTGCTGGGCTGGCCCATTTTCTCTGGGCTGGTTACGGCGTGGGCTGGGGTTTGCAGGGGAGCACGGGCTCATGCTCTGTCCCAGCAGGGTGCAAGGAGAGGAGCTTTGGTTTTGAGCAGGAACCGCAACAGCTCCTTGACATGAATACACCATCTGTTCTGGGTCAAGGTCGGGAGGGCTTTAACCTCCTTCCTGGGGCATGCCAGAGTCTGAGGCCAGATGTCCTGTGGGCCGGGGGCTGTGTTGTGCTGGGGACACGCTCCTCAGTGTTCTCTCAAGGCTGTCGCAGCCCGAGGACTCCAAGCTCTGTTCCACCCCCTGTCCCAAGGCTGCGGTGCTCTCTGGGACCCAGAGGTCCCTGGTTGAAGCTTGGCTGTTGGCACAGACTGCCTGGGCAGCCCAGGCCCTTGGGTTGGGGTCCAAGGGCACTCAGAATGACAATACCCCTCTCCTGTCGTCCTGTCTGTCCATCGTTCTCTACAGCAGCAGCTTCAAGCTCACCAGTTGTCGCAGCTCCAAGCCCTTGCTCTGCCTCTGACTCCGCTCCCTGTGGGCCTCCAGCCCCCGTCCCTCCCTGCCGTCAGTGCCGGCACTGGGCTCCTCTCGCTCTCGGCCTTGGGCTCTCAGGCTCATCTCTCCAAGGAGGACAAGAACGGCCACGACGGGGATGCCCACCAAGATGATGACGGGGAGAAATCGGATTAGAGTGAATGGGGGCTGTCTCTTATACA